TATAACATATACACGAGCAAAGGGTGTATTTTTAAAAGTCATTGTAGCTATTGTAGGTAACGCAGGGCTATGTATTCGCATAAAAAAGTATTTTATGCATTTTCGATATGTGCATACTCTTGCCACGTTCTGTGCATAATGTTGTACCATGAGAACTAGAATCGGCAAGTCATGGCTAGTCCAAATGTCAGATGCAGATGAATGCACTATGTTAGTATATGATACTCCATAATCAACAATAGGCAATCAGTTACTGCAATCAGTATTCAGCAGCCCATTCATATAACATAATGCGGTTATGCAACCTATGACATAACCTTCTATAGTATTATGTAACCCTTATATGCAACACTCTATGGATGCATTGTGCCATTGTTAACGTGAAGGCAGAGAATCCTAAAGAGATTCGATGTCGATGAGAATAAAAACCAATTTCCACGTGAATTCCCAGTGAGGACCGTATACTATAAAACGGAACCACGACTTTGGAGAGACCTCTTTCTTCCAAGATGCCAAGGGCAAAACTGCCTTGTAGGCAATTGAACAGCGAGAGCATTAAGGCAGCTTGTCTGTGTTATTTGACACCGATAATTACTGGGAAATGCAGCGTCGTTAGTGCACACGTTTTAGTCGGAGAGAATAAAATCCTGAAAGCTTGGACTGACATATGCAAAACGAGAGATCAATGTGACAAAGCAATATCAGGTAACTCTAATGAAACTATACATGAAATATGTATATAGTATAATCGGGTCATAAGAATTGTACTAAAATTGTTCTTTCGTCTTTCTTTAGCACTTCAAAACGTGGCATTCTATTTTAGTGCCATTTCCTCCGTTGAGGCGAGAAAAACGAAGAACACTAGCAAAGAAGATGAAACAGATGAGTCCACTGATGATGAATGTACGACGAGACCAAGTATTGATTCTCACARTGTTGTCTTGGAACGTAAAATGCGCCCAGCAATTATGTACTGGATATGCCTGACAACACCTAATGGTGCCCCAGCGAATCCACTTGTGGTTTTAAGAGCTTTGCTTGAATGCAGAGTTGAGGCATCTGCTCGRCAGGTAAAGTGATACGCTGGTTTAAATCAAGTAAAATATAGAAAAAATACCAATTGTTTGCTAATTTTGTGTTGATTGACCTCTTTAGGTACCATTCAAAGAGGGGGTAGATTCAGTGTGCATGAAAGAGCTTTATAAACTTCTAAAAGACCATAAGAACGGCTTCATGCAGGATTTAGTAGGTTATTCCTATCGTCAATGCTATCGAGAAGAAGCAAGGGAAATTCTAGACGAAGATATATCCATGAGTCAAGCCGAATTAGAGAGTGGGACTGAAAACGTGGTGCGCGTGAAATGTGTTATTGGTTCTTACATACCGCTTCTCACACATGCCCTGGGAAAACTTATGGAAGCAAAATTGACAGTTGACATKATTGGTCTAACTGCAACGGATGAGACTCAAGAACAAACAGATCAGCCAAAAGAAGAAGAAAGRCGGCTTTCAGATAAGCTGACCGTGTTGGTAAACGATATCGACAATGGTATGAAAAAGCTCAACTATGCGTTACATCGTGGCAAAGTGTACAAGAAAGTACAAGAAGCCCGGTTCACGTATTCCTTTAAATGCGAAGCAAGAGAATTTGTCAACAATTTAGCGACAAACGAGTTCTACAAATCACGCCTGCTCGTCAATATGAAAAAAATGATCGAYCTGATGTCTGATCCGTACTGTGAAGTAATCGCTCCAATAACTATAGACTATAATCTTATAGAAGTTAAGAGAGGGATGTGCTGGTCGATAAAGGAAAGAAAATTCATAGAATGTCCAATACCCGAGAGTAGAATTGGCAAAGTTTCTCCACGTGCTTTCTGCCAGTACGACAGCCTGCAGGATCCAGATCCAAAGTATTTCAAAGAGATATTAGAAAACAGCTTGAATACAGAAGAACAAGGTATAATATCACTAATGTGCTTAATATGTTTCAGTACTAAGTTACACAATAAAACTGTATTTTATGTTTAGGTGCATTTTGCGAAGACTTTCTGAAGTTGCTCCATTACAATCGAAAGCATCACAAAGACAGAGTGCCTTGCCTAGTGGGAGAATCCAAYAGCGGAAAGTCCAGTCTTTTTTTCCCCATCCTKGGAATCGTGCATCACACCAACGTTGCAACAGTAACAAAACAGAGATCTTTCAACAAGGCTATGATTACTAAGTTTACGGAAGTGATCTTCATCGACGAGGCCACCGAGTCAACTCTGTCGACAGACGACTGGAAAATCTTAACTCAAGGCGGATTTTCTGCCTTTGACGTCAAGTACGAGACTGCTCGTGCATTTATCAACAGATGCCCCATGATAATCACAGCACAGAAGAAATTACAGTTTGGATGCCCAGAAGATCAAAGGGCCATGGACCGGCGCCTGCGAACTTACCACTTCAGCAGTCTACCTCAGCCAAAGAGAAAGGCGGCTGAGTGGCTCAAACGCCATCCCATGGACTGCATAGTATGGGCAGCCAATCAAGCAGCACCATTGAGTGGAAACGACGATGATGATCAGTGCTCCAGCGTTGACGAGTATTCTATGGACGATGAGACGACATTAGAAGAGAGTGAAAAAGAGACGCTACGTAGCTTTTTACCAGTGGATCCCGAGGAGCCCTTAAATCCAAGTAGCAACGATCTCGACACGGACGTGGACCAAAACGAACTCGAACCGACAGACACCATGATTACAGACGAACGTGTTCGGGCAGTCCACAATGTCCTCCAGAATGCCGAGAAGGGCACTTTACGTTACAGACAAGCCAAGGAGCTTTTGACGAGAGAGAAACAACGCCTCCAAGAAGAGAAGCAAAGGTACGAACTCAAACAGAAGAACTACAAGAAAAAAGGCGTCTCGACTCAGAACCTCCACCTTGTTCCTCAGARCGACGATGAGCCAGATCCAACACCAGTCGCCAGAGAGCTCGCAGCGTTTAGTGATTGGCAAAAAAGGAMAGAACTCCAAGACCGCSAAAACMAAKCCCGAGCTTTGTTCGAAAACCGTTGGTTGATCGAGACTGAGAGAAAGATGCACGACTGCGTCATGACCTTAAGTCGGAGCAGGAATGAAAATACGCGCGCCGGTGCCAGAGGAGTCTTAGAAATCTACTCCAACAAATTGAAGATGCACCACAACACGATGGGTACGTTGAAATGGCCAGAAGCCTTAGAAGAACGACGCCGTGCTTGTATTTCSCTGGGCCTGTTAGAGGAAAGTCAGCAGCACCTTGTAAAGACTTTGTGTGAGCCCCTCCCCTTACCATTCGAGACTCAGACCAGGCCACAGAAAAGAAAGTTGTGCGACTCCCACGAGCAAGACCGAGACACAAAGAAGTCAAATATACTCAGCTTTTTAAAAAATTATTTCGCGTCGTAGTYTATTTTTTTGTCAATTACTTAATATAATCTTTATACTTGATTTATTTGAAATATTGTACCGCCGCGCATCTGAGCCGTGAATTAATTTATGATATAAAGTTATGTGATATGTATTAAAGTCATATGTCCAAAGTGACTAAAGTCGTACATTTGATGGGATAGAATGACTATTGGAATTTTCTAGTAGCCCGATTTAATAAAGAATTTGCTGTTCTTCCCTTCTGGAACTTGTAAGATGGGTCTTTTAAAATCACTGCCCATTTCCCATACCCATGTCGCTGTATGCCATCTTTCAAGTATTCATCTTCTTGGGGTGTGAAAAGCAACATTGYCTTCTTTCGACACGGCGCAGACGTAGTAGTAGCAATGGCAATTGCAGGCTGTTTTCGCGTCTTTTCCTCAATCGACACTGTATTTCTGTCAACTGTTTCTTTGTCAGGTGAGGAAACGGAGCTGTCTGAAGTCAATCTGGAAGAAACGTCTCCATCCACTTGAGAACCCTTTTCACCGTGCAACTTTTTCATATATTCGTAAGCCTTCGTCGCAACATCGCGAGATCGTCGCTTTTGATAATGAACTTTGGCCACCACCGAGCTGTGTTTTTGATCTTCAGAAATCANTTACCTCCAGAACTGACAACATCCTTGACGCTCATGCCAAGCTCATGAGCCATGAAACCCATCACTGAGAAGATAACAAATCCACTAAACAGACTCGTGCCACAATTGATGAATGACACAATGAGAGTATCTCTGAAGATTAAAAATGAAATCTGTCATCATGCATCATCCAGGTTTTCTATTAAAGACACCATGACAATGGMGGACCAATTTGAACGACGGTTGGAATCMCTAGGGCTTAATTGTTGATTTTTGACGCACAATTATTTAGGCTCAGCCCGTAAAACTGGAAATGCTAGAAATTGAAATAGATTGTGAACTGAAGGAAAGTTGTATCCTTGACTTGCTTTGCACATTATATGACGTTAACATGTGTCAATAAGAGAACATTCCAAGAAAAAAGCCTCTGCAATTTGTTTTGTTTTGGTTTTGTTTTGGTTTCTGTTTTTGTTTTTGTTTTTGTTTTTGTTTTGCCACATTTAAGTCTAAAAATCATTTCCTCCCATCTCATATTTTACCCGACGCTCCGCGGTCCCTAGTTATTCATACTTTTATTCCCTCTATAGCATTCTGGTCTTGGTATGTGACGCATTGCGCAAATCGCGCCTATCAAAAAGTTATCAGTTGATCTAAACGGATATTAAACGGGATTTCATACCTGATGCAGTTATTTTTGAATTTATTGTAGCTGCCATATGTTATAAGACCACCAAAACCAACGCTTAGAGAAAAGAAGATTTGTCCAGCGGCATCTACCCACACCTGACACAATAACAAAATCATGATTTAACTATCAATACTCTAACTTATACGATACAAAATTTGAGCAAATCGTGCCAGATATTTTCATTTCTGATATGTCATTCTTATATCATATGAGGATTATAATATATAATAGCATTTTTTTTATTTTTATAAAGAAATAGTTTAGATTGTGAACATCGGAGACATAACTATTCATTAAYGTTCCAACAAGCGCGTTTTAAAAAAATGTGGTTTGCGTTCTCAGACACTCTAAGGCATGGCTCTCAGAAAAATATTGAT